GCGCGGCCGCCGCGGCTGTCGCCCTCCGGAAGGCGGCCTGGTTCTCCAGCACGTGCGGCGGCACGTGCACCTGCTGCAGCTGCATGGGGGACTCCGTCAGCCCCTCCTGCGAGTCTCCGGACTCGTCCTCCTCGAGGCCGTCGTCGTCCCCGACTCCTCCGGAAACGTCCTCGTCGAACGTCATCTCCACAAAGTCGCTCGCCTTCACCGCGTACTCGTCCTCCTCGAGGCCGTCGTCGCCCTCGACTCCTCCAGAAACGCCCTCGTAGAACGTCATCTCCGCAGAGTCGTCGCCGTAGCCCTTCTCCACGACACCACCGGAAACGCCCTCGTCGAACGTCATCTCCGCAGAGTCGTCGCCGAAGTCCTTCGCCTCGACTCCTCCGGAAACGCCCTCGTCGAACGTTATCTCCGCAGAGTCGTCGCCGTAGTCCTTCTCCTCGACTCCTCCGGAAACGCCCTCGTCGAACGTCACCTCCGCAGAGTCGTCGCCGTAGCCCTTCTCCTCCAGCTTCGAGCCCTTCTCGGACTCGTCCTCCTCGAGGCCGTCGTCGTCCACGACTCCTCCGGAGACGTCGAACGTCTCCTCCACGGGGCCCTCCATGAAGCAGCACACCTTGCTGACCAGCACCGGGAAAGGCGGCACCTCGGGGAAGGTGCCGGCGCCCGCAGCGACAGCCGGGCCGACGCCGCCGACATCGGTCACGACATCCTGCCCCGGCTCCTGCACGTGCAGGCTCTTCACGACCTCGTGGACGACGAACGCGTCCTCCAGCACGCCGTGCACGGGCGGCGCCTGCCCCCACTGTGTGAGGCCCGCCAGCTGCGCGCCCTCCACGTCGGACGCCTCCAGCGCCGCGAACCTGACAGCATACGTGCAACCGCCGACGGCGTTGGCACCGCCTCCAGAGCCGCACCCGCCACACGCGGCTGCGCTGAGGGCGAGCCCGAACGCCAGGTCGAGCTCCAGCTGCGCCTCGTCGACGCCCGCTTCGGCGTCGAGGTCGAACCACGCCACCAGGCCACCTGCAGCGCCGCCAGACATCGTCGCCGCCCGCACGCCTCTTGCCCTAGGCGCCGAGGTCCGCCATTGCGGAGCGCCCCTGCCCCCAGGCGCCCGGCCGGGCCGCGCCCACGGCCGCCCCCCAGGCACCTTGAGGGAGGAACGGCCTTGAGCCAATGGCTTGAGCCAACATGGCTACGGAGTAGTAGTAGTAGTAGTAGTAGTAGTAGTCGTAGTAGTAGTAGTAGTAGTAGTAGTAGTAGTAGTAGTAGTAGTAGTGGTAGTAGTGTTAGTAGTAGTAGTAGTAGTAGTAGTAGTAGTAGTAGTAGTAGTAGTAGTAGTAGTAGTAGTAGTACTAGTAGTAGTCGTAGTAGTAGTAGTAGTAGTAGTAGTAGTAGTTCTAGTAGTAGTAGTAGTAGTAGTAGTAGTGGTAGTAGTAGTAATAGTCGTAGTCGTGGTAGTAGTAGTAGTCGTAGTAGTAATAGTAGTAGTAGTAGTAATAGTAGTAGTAGTAGTAGTAGTAGTAGTAGTAGTAGTAGTCGTAGTAGTAGTAGTAGTAATAGTTTCAATAGCAGTAGCAGTAGCAGTAGTACTACTACTACCGCTACCACTACATCGGTACTACGAAAGTTTTGACTCGTTTTGTGTTTTCAGCTAAACATTGCCTGAGCATAACATCGGTTCTGATCGTAGTCTTGATTGAGGAAGTCCTTGGCGGAAGCGCCATTTCGAAATCGAACCCGAAGGTTTCGAATTCTGTTTTTGAGGAAGTCCTTGGCGGGAGCGCCATTTCGAGTTCGAACGGAACAAATGCCGAAACTCATTTTGCAGGAAGTCCTGTGCGGGAGCGCCATTTCGAAATCGAGGCAGAAAGGTTTCGTCTTCTATGTTTGAGGAAGTCCTGTGCGGGAGCGCCATTTCGAATTCGAAGCAGAAAGGTTTTGAATTCTATGTTTGCGGAAGTCCTAAGCGGGAGCGCCATTTCGAAATCAAACCCGAAAATTTCGAAATCGTTCGAAATCGTTTTTTCGAGGAAGTATCAAGCGAAACCGCCGTTTCGAAATGGCCACACCGTTTGGCATATCAAATTTTAAAAACCCTGACCCGAAAACTAGAAAATGCAGCTTTCGCTTAGGACTTCCTCCCCAAAACGAGCTCGACCGGATTTCGAAACCCTCGGGCTCGATTTCGAAATGTGGCTTTCGCCTAAGACTTCCCCCCCAGAACGAGCTCGACTGGATTTCGAAACCCTCGGGCTCGATTTCGAAAGGGCGGTGCCGCCCGAGACTGGAGCGAAAAATGCTTCAACCGAACATTGTACTGGGGCCCCGCGGCCTAACGGGCCCACTGCCAACTTTGTAATGGGGCCCCGTCGCCGAACGGTAGGCGTTGAATTTTGGCCGAACTGTCGTAGCGGCGAAGTACTGCTACTATTCTTCTTCTTGCTATGCTCCCCCCCTCCTCCTCATTCTCACTGTTTTGTTATTTCAACTTTTCTTCTTCTTCTTCTCATCAGTTTTGCTGTTCTTGGTATTTATTTTTGTTTCGCGGCGTGGGGGCCCGGGCCCTCTGCCAGGGGACCCGCTTGGCACCCCAGGCTGTCTCTCGACGGCCTCGCGGCCCGGCGAGGGGCTCCCGGAGAGCGAAGGCGACCACAAACATCTCCCGCCGTGTATTCTGTTTTCCTTGCGCGCGGCGACGAGGAGGAGGAGCAGGAGGAGGAGGAGGGGGAGCAGGAGGAGGAGGAGGAGGAGGAGGAGGAGGAGGAGGAGAAGAAGGACGTATGTTTGAACGTTCTCTCTTCGTGTTTGGGTCAGGTGGCACTCGCCCGCGAGCGTCTGGGCTCTCTGGGGCTCGTCGAGGATCGAGCATTTGGGCGCTCGCGCGCGCCATCGCCCGACGGCGGCATCCCCGGTCGCAGGTCCTTCTGCCGCGGGTGCCTGCGCCAGTGGACGCGAACCAGCGTCCACTCCGCCGGCATACCCAGGCGCGCTCCGCCTTCTGCCGAGATCGGACGGGGGGAGAAGGGGGGCTGGTAGGGGGCGGGATTGGGGGGAGTAGGCGGGGCGGAGAGGAGGAGCCGAGAAGGGGAAGACGGGGGACATGAGCATGGGAGGGGTGGTGAGCTGGTGATGGTGATGGTGATGAGGATGGTGATGGTGCTGGGGATGATGATGATGAAGAAGAAGATGATGAAGATGCTGCTGATGACGATGATGACGATGATGATGATGGTGATGATGGTGGTGGTGATGATGATGCTGCTGATGGTGATGGTGGAGGTGGTGGTGATAATGATGGTGGTGGTGATTATGATGAGGATGAGGATGGTGATGGTGATGAGGATCGTGATTGTGATTATGCTGCTGATGATGACGATGATGATGCTGATGATACTGATGACGGTGATGATGACGATGATGGTGATGATGATCATCATGACCATGATCGTGATCATGATCCTGATGATGATTATGATGATGATGCTTCTGCTGATGACGATGGCGGTGATGCTGATGATGATGGTGATGGTGTTGGTGGTGGTGATGATGATGGTGGTGATGATTATGAGGATTATCATTGGGATGAGGATGAGGACGATGTGGGTGATGTGAACGAGGAAGGGGATGAGGATGATGAGGGATATGAGGATGAGGAAGGGGTTGAGGATGAGGATGAGGAGGATGAGGATGAGGATGAGGAGAATGAGGAGGATGATCAGGAGGAGGATGAGAGGGATGAGGATAAGGGTGATGATGGGGATGAGGAGCAAGACGACGATGAGTGTGAGGATGATGAGGATGATGAGGATGATGAGGATGATGAGGATGAAGGAGGGGATGGGGAAGAGGGTGGGGACGAGGATGAGGATGATCATGGGGATGATGAGGGGATGAGGATGATGAGGGTGACGAGGATGAGGAGCAGGATGCTGATGATGCTGATGATGGTAATGCTGCTGATGCTGATGCTGCTGGTGATGATGCACCTGATGATGATGCTGATGATGGTGATGCTGATGCTAATGCTGATGCAGATGCTGATGATGCTGATGCTGCTGCTGATGATGGTGATGATGGTGATGATGATGGTGATGATGATGATGAGGATGAGGATGAGGATGATGTTGATGTGAGCACAGTGGTTATGAGAGTAGAATGACATTTTCTGCAGCTTTCTCGCACCGAGCCCGCCCCGCTCTGCGCACTGGGCACGCCCGCAGCTGATGGGTGGAGGGCCAGCGGCCAGAGCACGGGCGGTCCACGAGCCCGCATGTGGCTTCGAGGCCTACTCAAGGCCCTCTTCCAGCGGCGAGGAGGTTGCGCCAGTCGGTGGAGGACCCAGAGAGGGTCCCCTGAGTCGTCATGACGGACAGCAGCCAACGCGGGCCGCCCAGAAGAGCTGTACATAGGTGCCGAACCTGTGGTTCGGGCCGCCCCTGCCGCTGGCAGCCACTGCTGGGAAATCTGGGCCGCCCCGGGTTCAAGCGAGGACCTCGTCGGGGTGCACAGAGGAAGCGCGGTCGCGTGGCAGGCGATCGTCGCCAGACTCGGAGACGGCAAGTACACTAGCGGGCGGGATCGCATGCGTCGGTTCCCGTCGCTGGGCGAGGCCCCCGACATATTCTCCGACGAGCAGGGGGACTACTCATACACCGTCAAGGTCTTCGACTGGACCAATCCGCAATGACGACGCTGCCACCTGATGCGCTGCAACAGATGGGGGACGTCCTCTCTCGCTCGTGGCTGCTCGAGCTGCCTATCGGCGGGGCCCGAGCCGCCGGCGCGGCAGCGCGGTGCCAGGCCCGTGTGGTCGGCGCCAGGTTCGCGAGGCTCGATGGGCCCGTCGCCGTCGACACCCTGATTGAGGACGACTTTCGCGACCTCGAGCTCGAGGAGCTCCTCGTGGTGCCCGCAGTCTGCCTTCGCTCGACGCTGGCTCGCTCGCCTCCGTAGACTATGTCTCGGTGGCGCTTCGGTCGGCCCTTGGCGAAGAGATGCCAGCAGATGCGGCGCGTGTGAAAGACTCGCCCGCGTTCCTGGCGAGACTCGCCGAGAGCTGCGCGGAGGACGAGGTGATCGAGTTCTTCGACTCAGCTGGCGGGCGTACCCGGCCGGGCCTTCCCGAGCGGGCCGATCTCGCCCCGCAGCCCGACGACTGGAACATCGGGTTCCTGATCCGACCCGTCGCGTTCCCCGACCTCGCGCCCCGGGGCGATCCAAGGCGCATCGGCTTCCAGCACTGCGTCGGCGGGCAGATTGATGGCGAGAGATACCTCGCCGTCGACGAGCGCGATGGCGACGGCGCGGGGGGCGACGAGGTCGCGCAGGAGTGGGCAGGTCGGCCGCGTGGCGCCTGCGTGGCGGGCAGCCCGCGCGCGGAGGGAGAGGGGCCACTTGCGGGCCTTCGGGGCCCCGTGGTCCCGTCCGCCAGGCGCCCCCCTCAACGAATGACGCCGCCGCTGGCCGCGCCCGCAGACAGGCCTGCGCCCGCCGCCCCTCCCGCTGCGGGCGGGCGCGCGGGGCGCGCGGTGGGGCAGCGGCATGCGGCGAGCAGCGCCGCGTGCCGCGCCCCCTCGCCGCGCCGCCCTGTCGCGCGACGATCAGCAGAGCGCTGTCGTGAGTTTCGCGCGCGAGCTACTGGGGGCCATCGGCGGCCAATTAAGGGGCTCCCGAGCCGGATCGAGCAGGCCGAGAGGAGAGGCATGGAAGCCCGCGCCCTCGCTGCTGCGGTGCCCCCCCCAGCCGCCCGAGGGTCGCCTGCTCCAGACGGGGCCCTCCCCGATCGCGCTGGCGCTTGCCCCCGTTGTTTCGAGCCGACCCCCCTCCCAGAGCTCGCCCGCGGCGCCAGCCAGGACAGCGGCTCAGCTCCTGGGGCGCAGCCCGCCCCGGCGCCCCCCCCGTCCAGGGCGGCAGAGGATGCCCCGGCGGCGGCTCGCGGGTTGCTTCAGCGGGCCGGCGGTGCCCCCTGCGCGAGCAGGTCAGCCGCGTAGCTCCAGAGAGGAGGGCCGACCTCGACCTCGAGGCTCTCGCCGAGGCGGGCGGCCGCGACGCAGACAAGGCCACCCAGGTTGCGATGCCGCGCGTGCTGGGGAGGGTTGGCGGCTCTTCGGGGTTGCAGCCTCGAGCGCCGGAGAGGCGGACCTAGTTGCCAGGGTCACCCGGTCGAAAGGAGCAGCGGGGCTCCTGGTGCTCAACGGGGCCATCGAGCGCGAGCCGCAGACGTGGCCCGCCCTCGTCGACGCCGCGGCCATCCCCGAGCTCGGCTGTGACGCCACAGGCGCGCCATGGGGCGTGGCGCTCCATGGCGGGCAGAGGGTCAGAGCCGGGCGCCTCGAGGACAACGGACGCTGCTGGGAGATGCCTGCGTCTCTCCGCGCGCTGCGCAGGTCGCGGCAGCGCGACTTCCGCGGGGCCCGGCCCGGCCAATTTCTGAGGGGCGCGCAGTGGGGGGCGGGGGCGCCGCCGAGGGCCGCGCCGTCAAGGGCCGCGTCTGGGACAAGAGGTCGAAAGAAGTGGACCGACAAGAAGGGGCAGGGCGGCGGCGGCGTCGGGGGAGGCGAGCGATCGCCCTTAGATGGGCCCGACAGCTCATGGAAACACCGAGGGGGGCCAGCGCGGGAGTTGGGCCTTCGTCGCCGTTATCCACGACTCCGGCTTCGCAGGCCGCCGTCGGTTCGGTGATCTGCGCTCTTTTCGCATCTGGCGTGCTTGCGTCGTTCTGCGCCTTCCTCGAGGCGGCCCCGACGGGGTGTCGCGCCCCCTGGCCGTGTCAAGAGTTGCTCGCGCCCTGTGGGCTTGCCGGCGAGTGGGGCGGGAGTGGAGCTGCGCCGCGGCCGCCGCAGTGTCGCGCGCAGTGGCTGCGGGGGCGACGTCGGCGGCGCCGCGTCAACGCGTCCGTCTCCTATCTCCCGGGTCGGCGGCGCCATGCCTCGCCGCGCCCTTGGCCGAGAGACAATGGCAGCTAGTGCGCCAGCATGACGACAAGTGTGCCGGTTTTGCCGCGTCGAGGAGTCAATGCCGCTCCTGGCCGCCGGCGTCGCTGGCGCGCATCGGGTCGCGACGGGGCCCGTGGGCGCATCGTGCTCGGGAGGCAGCGCGCATTCCGCGGAGCCTCTCACCCTCGCCCTCGGCATCCCGCCCAGCGGCGCGGCGATCTTGTTCCGGCGGCCAGTCGCGCCGCCCAGGAACGGCGCTATCTTTCGCGCGCCTCGCGTCTTTGACCTCGAGCCGAGTCGCCCTCCCAGTCGGCTGCTGCCCGCGTGCGTGCGCGTGGGTCACTGGGCCTCGGCAACGGCGCGTGCGTGGGATGATCGTCTTCTGCGGCTCGCGAGTCCGGAGAGCCCCCGTTTGCTCGCGGGCCCCCTAGTCAGCGCTGGGCTCTCCGGCGCGGAGAAGAAGGGCGACCGCGGGCCGAGGGTGATCATGCGCTGGCGTCTCCGCAACGCACTCGATATGTCCCTGAGAGATGCCCTCCGCGAGTGTGCTTTTGCCGCGAGGCTCCCCCGGCAGTCGACGCGCCTGCCTTGGGCGTCTCGCCACCCTGCCCCATGCCGTGCAGCTTCGGGGGCGTGGATCAGTGCAGTAATGTATTTTCCCCAGACAGCAATGATATAGTTGCCCCCCGACGGCGGCGGGCGCTGGCGCGCCTCGTCGAGCCGTTGAACCGATGCGAAACGCATGGTTGAGGGCCGGCGCAGGGGCCGTCAAGAGGGGGGCCGCTGAGCGAAAGCGTTTGATGAATGTTCGAGGAATTCTGGTTTGAAGTTATTTTGGTTGATTCATTTCCGGTGCGGGGGTGCGCCAAAAGTGGCCTCGAGCCACTTTTTAAGTGTGCCCATGCTTTTTCGTCTGAGCCTGAGCGCGCAAAATTTCTGCGTCGCTGGGCAGCTTCGCCGGGCGGGGCCCCAGACGACTCCTCGGTTCGCTCGGGGGTGCGCCCCTGTGGGTTGTCGCCCCCGCGTTCCCATGCTCGGCGTTTGCCCTTGCGAGGCCCTGGCCCCGGCCGCCAGAGATTGGTTATTTCATTTAGAAATTGATCGCCCTAATCTTGCAAGCCTCCAACGGTTCACGGGGCTGTTCCCCCCGAAGGGCGGGTGCATGTGGGTCTCCGCGGACGACGCGGAGGACCTCTTCTACCCCCTGCAGTGGCCGGGCGCTGGGGCCCAGGAGACCGCCCTTGGGTTTGCCTCGACCGCGGGGCCATTGAGCTGCTGGGGCGGAGTGCCCCTGCGAGGTGGACTAACTCCGCCGGTGCGGTTGCGGCGGGATCGCCTGTCCTGGCAGATCCAGCGCTGCCTGCGATCCGCGGGGTGTCTGCGCGACGGATGGCGGCTCGCCGCCAGTCGGGCCCCCCCTCAGATCGAGTGCGGAGGGCGTCAACTCGGACGGCCGCGCGGTCATTGGGTCGGCCCTGGCGCCGGGGGCCCAATGCGACGGGCCGCTCTTCACCGCGTTCGGCATGGGCGCCGGGCGCGCGACCGCGTGGGCATCGAGGGGGGGGGGGGAGGAGAGGGCAACCCCAGACCAGCCCAGTGGGGTCGTCCAGGGGGTGGGACCTCCTCAGCGCGACTCGATGTAGGCGGGGGGGGTGTCGAAGGTCAAGCAGCTTGGAGTGATCGCCGCGCGCGTCATCCTTGTCGGCGCCGGGTCGGTCTTTCTCATGCGGAGGCTGGTCGGATGCTGGGTGCGCCATCTGATGTTTCGCCGGGCCGCCGGGCGCCTCGTGGACAGGCTCTACTCGTGGCTTCGCGCGCCCTGAGTGGGCCCCGCGGCTTGGCGTCGGCTGCCGAAAACAATGATCGACGAGCTGATTGGGCTGGTCTTCCTGTTCTCATTGTTCAGGAGTTCGCTCGACTCCGCGGTGGCGGAGCAGATCTTCGCCTCGGGCGCCGCCCTCTTCGTCGGCGGAGTCGCGTCGGCCCCCCTCGGCGCGGGGCGGGCGGTCTGGCTTGGGCGGGGGCCTCTCGACGGACAGGCGCAGCGAGGCTCGAACCTTCTGGGCCCCCGGACCCCGGCGAGCCGCTCAGGGTCCTGGTGGGCGGGTTCCCGATGACTCCCTGCTCCGCTCTTGGGTAGGGTCCAAACAGTACGCAACCCTGTTGCGCCGCGGGTTCTCGGGGCGACGACATTTTGTTGCGCGCGGGGCCGTCGCCAATAGATCGCTGGTCAAGCGGGCCGACAAGGGCCGGCGCGCGCGTGGCAAGGTCATCCCAGCATTCATAGACTCGTATGTTGCGCATGGCGTTGCTGCCCGAGGACGATCGCCCAGCCTGGTCCATGCGTGACGGGATGGTCGCCGCCGTGACTCTCCTGTTTTTGCTGTTCGCAGGGTGCTCTCTTTTTTCGTCTGGGGCATGGGGCGCCCGCGACCCGCGACCCTGCAGCTGACCCAATGCGAGGTGCCGAGATGCGTCAGGCCAGACCGTGTCCCCCCGAGATGGTGGCATCGATTGCCGCCGTCGAGAAGCTTTGGGGCCGGGCCGTGAGCGCGCGCCGCTCGGTCTGTGGTCGCCGACCACCCGTCTTCCACGATGCCTTCAGCGGGCCGAAGGACCCCGTCAGCGCAGCCCTGCAGCGCTGCGGATGGATCGTCATCGGCCGCGACGTGCCACGCGGCCCTCTCGAGGGCCTCGCCGATCTCGACGTGCTCGCCCAGGAGATCGAGCTCGTCCCGAGGATCAGGCCGATGGCGGGCGCCCTGGGTCCCCTTTGCGGGACCTTCTCACGATTCATGAACTCGCGCTCGTTGTCCACTCGGACTCGCCGGCGGCCGCGGGGGCCGCGGCGGCGCCCCGAACGGGGCCCTGGGCAGCGGGGGCGCGGGGGCCGGGCTGGATCTAGTGAAGGCCCTCGACTGCGTAGGCGCCCTGTTTGCGCGTGTGGGGCCTCGTCGATTTCTTCGGCATGCAGTTCTAGAGCTCTACGAGGCTCTCAGCGCGGGGCCGCTCTACGGGCGCGCCATGGACTGGCGCTCGCGGGGCATGCGATGGCGCGAGACCACCGCCTGGGAGCGGCGGTGGGCGCTCCTGCCCTGCTGGCATGGCGGTGCGACCGCAGCCGTCGGCAGCTCGTTCTAGGGGGGAATCGAGTGCGAGGGCGGCGTCTGGCGGCGCCGCGCAGAGGCGGCGGCAGGGTAATTACTACAGCGAGTGTGTCCGAGCAGCTCGACATGTACTGCCGCTCGCCGCGCTGCTGGTGCCCTGTCTGCAGCTGGCTGCGGTTCCCAGGAGAAGGCCCGCCCGCGCGCCTTGGGGCGGCGTCGCGAAGGGCGTTCTCGCGAGCCGGGCAGGGCGAAGCCAGCCACTGCTCGTCGCTATATCAGCAGGCTCGACAAGTGGAGCCTCTGGCCCCGGTGTCGATGGCTCCCCCGCCCCGACGGCTTCGCGCGTGATCGTCGCCGCCCTCGTCGCCTACGCGCAGTGCCTCTACGGCGCGAAGGCGCCATCGCGTCGGGGATCCGAGACCCGCGGTGGCGTCCAGTTAGTTTCGCTGGCCCCAGACCCGTGGTCAACTGCGCCCAGCCATGGCGCGGTGGCTCGCTAGAGAAATTCCGAGCTGGTTGGGATGCGCGCGCCTGTGCCTACCGAGGTGCTCCGGGCCCTGGCCGTCGGTGGCCACGCGCGCGGGGCAGGGCAGCAGCGTGCCTGCTCCTCGCCTTCCACTCGCTGCTGGGGCCCAGCGAGGTCGCGCATGCTCTCGGGCAGCACCTCGTCTTGCCGCGCTACCTGGGAGGCGACGCCCATGCGGGCGTGCTGGTGCTGCTCTCTGCCAAGACACCGGATCGAGGGCCAACGTTCCAGAGCGTCCCGATCGACGATCCTGCGCTGCTGACCTTGATCGAGCGCGTCTTTGGCCCCCTCTCGCCGACGGAAGCGTTTGGCCCGGGGCAGCTGCGCGGGCTGACCCAGAGGTTCATCTACCTCATGGCCCTCGCCGGCATGAGCGCCTCGCCCTGCGCCCCTGGGTCGCTGCGAGGACGCGGGGCCATCTGTCATTGCCGCTGTTCCAGAGCCCGTGGCTGATTCAATGCTGTGGGCGCTAGGAGAATTCTAAATGTATGCGTCACTATCTCCAGACGGGCGCGGTCGCCCTGTCCTTCACCCGCGTATCGTCTGATAGCCGACGGCGTGTCCAACATCTTTTCCAACTTGCTCCAGCTGCATGGGGCTTTTCAAGGCGCGCCCGAAGGGCGCGACGCGTTTCCGACGCGTGGCAATGATGGTAAGGTCGGAACATGTCGAGGGCTCTCCGTCTTTGGCGCTCTGTGAGACCGCGCTGCAGAACCAGCGCCGCTGCGCCCCGACGCCCCCGGCCTCCATTTGGCCAGCCTTTCCTCGCAAACTTCACGCATGGGGCGCTTTGGGTTACGAGCGTCGAAGATCATGTGCGCACAGCGATTATTATACTAGATAGACGTGTTCTGCAGCTTTCTCGCCCTCCCCCCCGCCCTTGCGAACATCTTTGGCAAGGTCGACGGCTCTCTGTCTTGGGGGAGCTGTAAGGCCGCGCGGCAGAGCCAGCGCCGCTGCGCCCTGACGCCCTTGGCCGCCCTTTGGCCAGCCTTTCCTCGCATACTTCACACGTGGGGCGTTTTGGAAACTTGAGTCGGATATGATGACGATGCTGCAGATAGTGATTGTGATGCTGGTGAATTGTCTGATGATGGTGCTGATGGTGATGATGATAATGACGGTGATGGTACTGGTGATGAGGATAATGGTGATGCTGATGATGGTCGTGATGATGATGATGGTGATGATGATGATGATGATGATGATGATGATGATGGTGATGATGATGCTGATGATGATGATGCTGATGAGTATGATGATGGTGATGATGATGGCCATGATGACGACAATGGTAAAGATGATGGTGGTGATGGTGATGGTGATGACGATGCTGATGCTGCTGATGATGATGATGATGCTGATGATGATGATAATGATGGAAGTGGTGCTGGTTGAAGAGGTGGAGGAGGGGCAACAAGAGGATGAGGAGGAAACGGAGGAGGAGGACGAGGCGGAGGAGGAGGAACAGGAGGAAAAGGACGACGAGGACGACGTGGACGAGGTCGTCGTCGTCGTCTTCCTCCTCCACCTCCTCCTCCTGCCCCTCCTCCTCCGCCTCGGCTTCCTCCTCCCCGTCGTGCTCCCCTCCTTCTGCGCCTCCGTCCCCGCCCGGACGGCCGTGCCCTTCCGCGGGCCTCCCGCAGAAGCCTCCTGGGAGGCCGCCGTCGCCCGGCGCCCACCGGGTTCGGGCCTGCCCGTTCTGTCGCGGCCGGCCGGCGGGGAGCGCGCCGCCGCGCTCCAGGTGCCCAGGCGGGTGCGCGCAGAAGGCCTTTCCGTTCCTCCCCCCCTTGTTGGCCATGAACGGAAGGGAGGAAGAGGACGAGGACGAGGACGAGGACGAGGAGGAGGAGGAGGAGGGGAGGAGGAGGATGAGGAGGGAGGAGGGAGGGGAGGACGAGGAGGAGGAGGAGAAGGAGGAGGAGGAGGAGGAAGAGGAGGAGGAGGGGGACAAAACGAGGAAGAGGTCGAGGACGACGAAGGGGCGGGAGAGGAAGTTAGCAGGAGGGGGAGGTTGAACAGGAGGATCAGGGGGAGGAGGAGGAGGAGGAGGACAAGGAGGAGGAGGGGGAGGAGGGGTAGGAGTGGGAGGAGGAGGAATGATGATGATGAGGAGGAGCAGGAGGATGAAGATGAGGATGAGGATGAGGATGAGGATGAAAATGGAGATGAAGATGAAGATGAAGATGAAGGTGAAGATGAATATGATGATTCTTATGATGATGCTGATGATGATGATGATGATGATGATGATGATGATGATGATGACGATGCTGCTGATGATGATGATTATGATGATAATGATGATTATGAAGATGACGATGTTGATGATGGTGATGATGAGGAGGAGGATGAACAGGAGGAGGAGGATGAGCAGTAGGAGGAGGAGGAGGAGGAGGAGGAGGAGGAGGATCATCGTAGAGTATTGCTGATGCCCTTGAGGGTAGGCATAGCCTGTTCGAATCGGGTGGGGTACATGGGCTCTCCCATCTTTCAAGCGGTGCTCGTGAAGGTTGGGATGATACAGCTTCTGGTCCCAGAGTCTGAACATGCTTATTTCGGCACCTCGTAATGGTGGAGGGTATGTGTAGTGAGCACTGCCCGAGACAGCCACCTCTATTCCGCACCTTTGGTTCGACGGTTGGGTGCTCTATGGTAGCCACTATCGTTACAGGGGATAAGTCATGTTGCGGGTCCCGCCGCCTGCTCCACCGCAGGAAGGATCGCCATCCTGGTGGTGACAGGGGAGGGGGCTGCTCCGCAGCGTGGTAGCATGGGAAACCTGCTCTGCAGTAGGCCGGGGCTCCATCCAGGGGGTGATGGGGGGGACATGCTCCACCGCATAGCGGATCACCACCCTGTGGGGTGGCACGGGCGGGCCGTTCTCAGGCAGGACGGGTCGCCCCTCCCTCCAGGGTGCACGGGACGGACCCACGCCATCGCAAGTGTCGCCTGTGTACGGATGACAGGGGGCTTTGCTACACTTGTGGAAGTCGATGAATGGAGAGGAAGCGTGCTGCCAAATAGTTTCCAGATGTCTAACACATGCTTCAAACATATTTTAAACATGTAACACACACGTTTGAAACATGTTTTATACATTTTAAACATATATTTAGTTCAATGATAGGATTGTTAGAGTGTCCATTGTCATGGCATCCACAATGCTACACAAGACAGCCGACCGCTTCCTTGGGAGGGCCTTGCGGGCCCGCTGCGGGGAACCCGCGCCGACGTGGGGCAATCGCCACTCCACGGGTGGCGGGTGGTCGGCCCCCCAGCAGGTCGGATCGCCGGCCTACGGGCGCCAGGGAAAACCTGATCCACGTCAGGGCAGAACTCCGCCCTGGGGCTGATAGGTCAACGCATGCTCGTGGGTGAGGCGATGGCCCTCGTTCGACCGCTGGTCGAAGCATGCGTCGAGCTCGTTACGCGGGGGCGGCAGGATGTGGAAGAGCGAAGGGTAGCGAGGAGCAGGTTGGCCCGCTGCTGCTCCTCTCTTTTGTGGTTGTTGTTGCTGCGGTTTTTCCCTTTCGTCGTCTTCCCCCGTGCATTTACACATTGTGAGTACTACTCTCCTCCTTCCCCTGACTGCGTCTGGAAGCTCGCGGGTTCTTTCCGCGTATCTGTTACGTACAATTGGACAGGGTTGGCTTTGCCAACAGATTTTTACGATCCGATTGTTTTTGTTCAAAATTGTGTTCCCGCTGCAGCGTGGGCCGCATTTTCGGAGCGGCGCTTTGCTGCAGTCGTTCGGAATGGCACTTTCGCCCTGGCGCAGGCCACTTTTCTGGATCCGAGTCCTTCTCAAGCGTTGTCGCCCCCTCATTTCCCTTCCTCCGCCTTCCCCTTCTCCTCCTGCTCCTCGCGCTCCTTCACTCCAGCTCCTGCTGGTGCTGTTCGTCTTCGTCCTTGTCCTCGTCCTCCTCCTCCACATCCTCCTCTTTTTCCTCCTCCTTTTCCTCCTGCTCATCCTCCTGCTCATCCGCCACATCCCATGTTCGCAGCTCCCCGTTTCCGATTTTGCTCAATACGATGGGTTTGTTTTTGACTTCCAGGGTGGCTACGACACGCGTCCGCGAATAGAGAAAACGTCAGCGCAGTGGGAAGGGATGGGAGGGAGGGATGGGATGCCAGATTTGGCGCGAGCGAATGTCGCTTGTCCTCCCTCTCCTCTGCCCCCTCCCCTCCCCCCCTACTCCTTCACTGCCCTCCTCCTCGTCCTCCTCCTCCTCCTCCTCCTCCTCCTCCTCCTCCTCCTCCTCCTCCTCCTCCCCTCCTCCTCCCTCCCTTCCCTCCTGCTCCTCGTCCTCCCCCGCCCCCCCTCCTCCCTCCTCCTCGCCTTGCCCCCCTCCTCCCTCCCTCCCTCCCTCCCTGCCTGCCTGCCTGCCTCCCTCTCCCCCTCCCCCTCGCGGGGCCGGGGGTCCTGCGGCCCTCGTGGCACCGGCGCGCTCCCTCGGGGGAGGCTCCGCCCCCCGTCCCCCCCGGCGCGGGGCGCGGGCCGACGCGCCCAGCTGCCCTTCCGGCTGCCCGCGCGCTCGCTGTCGCTGGTGGCGGCGATGGAGCAGGTCATCCCCGGCAAGCTCGCGGAGAGCCCCCTCCCGCGGCTCGAGGAATGTGAGAAGGAATGCTGCTGATGGTGGTGATGATGCTGCTGATGCTGATGATGATGATGATGATGATGATGATGATGACGATGGTGGTGAGAATGATGATGATGATGATGATGATGATGATGATGATGATGATGATGATGATGATGAGGATGATGATGATGATGACGATGGTGGTGAGAATGATGATGATGATGGTGGTGGTGATGATGATGATGATGATGATGACGGTGATGGTGGTGGTGATCATGATGATGATGATGCTGGTGGTGATGATGATGGTGAGGATGATGCTGATGATGCTGATGATGACGGTGATGGTGTTGGTGATGATGATGGTGATGCTGACAATAACGATGATGCTGATGACACTGACGTTGTTGACGCTGATGATGGTGACAATGATGATGATGACAAGGGTGATGATGATGCTGATGATGTTGGTGATGCTGATTATTATGCTGATGCTGATGCTGATGCTGATGATGATGGTGACGATGACGATGTTGATGCTGATGATGCTGATGATGCTGATGATGCTGATGATGATGATGATGATGAGCATGCTGATTATCATGATGCTGATCATGATGATGATGATAATGATGATATTGATGCGGATGATGCTGATGATGCTGATGATGATGACGATGATGATGATGCTGCTGATGATGGTGATGATGATGATGATGCTGATGATGATGAGGATGATGATGATGATGCTGATGATGATGCTGATGATGATGATGATGATAATGATGATGATGACGATGGTGGTGAGAATGATGATGATGATGATGATGATGGTGGTGGTGATGATAATGATGACGGTGATGGTGGTGGTGATCATGATGATGATGATGATGCTGGTGGTGATGATGATGATGGTGATGATGATGATGGTGATGATGATGCTGATGATGACGGTGATGGTGTTGGTGATGATGATGGTGATGCTGACAATGACGATGATGCTGATGACACTGACGTTGTTGACGCTGATGATGGTGACAATGATGATGATGACAATGGTGATGATGATGCTGATGATGTTGGTGATGCTGATTATTATGCTGATGCTGATGCTGATGCTGATGATGACGATGACGATGTTGATGCTGATGATGCTGATGATGCTGATGATGCTGATGATGATGATGATGATGATGAGCATGCTGATTATCATGATGATGATCATGATGATGATAATGATGATATTGATGCTGATGATGCTGATGATGCTGATAATGATGACGATGATGATGATGCTGATGATGATGTTTATGATGATGATGATGATGATGATGATGGTGGTGATGATGATGATGCTGCTGATGATGATGAGGATGATGATGATGATGCTGATGATGATGATGATGATGATGATGATGATGATGATGATGATGATGATGATGATTAGGTGTTCGTTTGCGTTTGCGTGTGCGTGTGCGTGTGTGTGTGTGTGTGTGTGTGTTTGTGCGTGTGTGCGAGTCCCAACCTGGACTCGTGTCTTTGCTTCGCAACTTGTTCTATCTCGTACTGTGCACCGGCAGCGCCCGTGGGTGCACCGACGCCGCAGCCCAGCCTCTGCCACGGCCTCCGCTGCCGCTGCTGGCCGCGCCGGCGCACTCCGCTTGGAATTCTTCCGCGTCTGAGTGCTCTCCGCCTCCCCCCCGTCCTCCGCGGCCTCCCTGTCTGTCTTGCCCCTCCCTCCTGCACGCCAGCGGAGAAGTGTGTGTGTGTGTGCGCGCGTCGTTTTCCATGTGCGTACACTACGGCCTCTTTTTTTCACCGCTGCGTCCCTCAGCGACGTCATGAACGTGCACTTGCGTGCGCCTGGTGGTAAGATCTAGGCGTGCCCCGTCCTCGAATTCGCGGCGTTGGACCAACCAACTGCTGACAACAAATGTGAGTATGCGTATGTACGGCATTTTTCACGTGTGCGCTCGTTTTCGTTTTCGTGGTTTGCCTGCGACTGCCGCCATCTAGTCCACCCATCTGCTGCGCCAGGTGGAACTTCGCCTGAGCTCGTCCCAGCTGCAATCAGCGATCCGCGACAGTGCCGTGACCTCGCCGATGGAGGACCGTTTTCCCCAACCATCCTGTGGTGTTGGGTCCTCGTTTTGAACAGACGGTGCCCCGCGTTCCCTCTTCCTTCCTTCCTCCTTCCTTCCTTCCTTCCTCCCCCTCCTCCCTCCTCCCCCTCCTTGCCTCTGCTGTCGGCTCACCTCTCACACGCTTCGTAGCCCCATAGGGAGCTCCACCGAAGGTCCCAGTGGGGGGGGGGCGCATGCGGTTCCCCCACCGAGGGCGGCGTTTCGTGGCCCCATAGGGAGCTCCACCGAAGGCCCAAGTGGGGGTGGGCGCATGCGGTTCGCCAACCCAGGGCAGCGTTTCGTGGCCCCATAGGGAGCTCCACCGAAGGTCCCAGTGGGGGTGGGCGCATGCGGTTCCCCCATCCAGGGCAGAGCTTCCTGGCCCCACAGGGAGCTCCACCGAAGGCTCCAGTGATGGTGAGCGCATGCGGTTCCCCCACACAGGGCAGCGTGTCGTGGCCCCATAGGGAGCTCCACCGCAGGCCCCAGTGGGGGTGTCCGCATGCGGTTCCCCCACCCAGGGCAGCGTTTCGTGGCCCCACAGGGAGCTCCACCGAAGGCCCCAGTGGGGGTGGGCGCATGCGGTTCCCTCACCCAGGGCAGCGCTTCGTGGCCCCATAGGGAACTCCACCGAAGGCCCCAGTGGGGGTGGGCGCTTGCGGTTCCCCCACCCAGGGCAGCGCTTCGTGGCCCCATGGGGAGCTCCACCGAAGGCTCCAGTGGGGGTGGGCGCATGCGGTTCCCCCACCCAGGGCAGCGCTTCGTGGCTTGATAGGGAGCTCCACCGAAGGTCCCAGTGGGGGTGTTCGCATGCGTCTCCCCTGCCCAGGACAGCGCTTCGTGGCCCCATAGGGAGCTCCACCGAAAGCCTCAATCCGGGTGTTCGCATGCGTCTCTCCCATCCAGTACAGCGTTTCGTGGTCCCATAGGGAGCTCCACCGAAGGCGCCAAATGCGCAGTTCGCATGCGCCTCCCCCACCCAAGGCAGATTGTCGTGGCACCATAAGGAGCTCCAGCGAAGGTTCCAATGGCGCAGTTCGCATGCGTCCCCCTCGCCCAGGGCAGCGTTTCGTGGCCCCATAGGGAACTACACCGAAGGCCCCAGTGGCAGTGTCCACATGCGTCCACGCCACCAATTTCGGCGCACCCCCATAGGAGCTCCACCGAAGGCCCCAGTGGGGGTGTCGCAGCGCTTCGTAGCCCCATAGGGAGCTCCACCGAAGGCACCCGTAGGGGTGTTCGCATGCGGTTCCCCCACCCAGGGCAGCGCTTCGTAGCCCCATAGGGAACTCCACCGAGGGCCCCCGTGGGGGCGTCCGCATGCGGTTCCCCCACCCAAGGCAACGTTTCGTAGCCCCATAGGGAGCTCCACCGAAGGCCCCATTGGGGGTGTCCGCATGCGGTTCTCCCACCCAGCGCAGCGCTTCGTGGCCCCATGGGGCTCCACCGCAGGCCCCAGTGGGGGTGCCCGCATGCGGTTCCCCCACCCAGGGCAGCGCTTCGTAGCCCCACAGGGAATTCCACCGAAGGCCCCAGTGGGGGTGTCCCCATGCGGTTCCCCCACCCAGGGCAGCGCTTCGTAGCCCCATAGGGAGCTCCACCGAAAGCCCCAGTGGAGGTGTCCGCATGCGGTTCCCCCACACAGGGCAGCGTGTCGTGGCCGCGTAGGGAGCTCCACCGAAGGCCCCAGTTGGGGTGTCTGCATGCGGTTCCCCCACCCAGGGCAGCGTCTCGTGGCCGCGTAGGGAGCTCCACCGAAAGCCCCAGTGGGGGTGCCCGCTCGCGGTTCCCCCACCCATGGCAGCGCTCCGTAGCCCCATAGGGAGCTCCACCGAAGGCCCAGTGGGGGTGGGCGCATGCGGTGCCCCCACCCAGGGCACCGTTTCGTGGCCCCATGGGGAGCTCCACCGAAGGCCCCAGTGGGGGTGTCCGCATGCGGTTCCCCCACCCAAGGCAACGTTTCGTAGCCCTATAGGGAGCTCCACCGAAGGCCCCAATGGGGGTGTCCGCACGCGGTACCCCCACCCAGGGCAGCGCTTCGTAGCCCCATAGGGAGCTCCACCGAAGGCCCCCGTGGGGGTGTCCGCATGCGGTTCCCCCACCCAGGGCAGCGCTTCGTAGCCCCATAGGGAGCTCCACCGAAGGCCCCAGTGGGGGTGCCCGCATGCGGTTCCCCCACCGAGGGCCGCGTTTTGTGGCCCCATAGGGAGCTCCACCGAAGGCCCCGTGGGGGTGCCCGCTCGCGGTTCCCCTACCCAGGGCAGCGTTTCGTAGCCCCATGGGGAGCTCCACCGAAGGCCCCATTGGGGGTGTTCGCATGCGTCTCCCTTACCCAGAGGTAACGCCACCGAAAACGATATTCAGATTTGCGGTATTCACAATATGTTTGGGTCCTTCGCCCGGCTAATTTGTTTGTGTGCGTGTGCTTCTTCGCCGCACCATGCGGTGCTCCACTTGCAGGCCAACGCGATGCAGAGCGCACGTTCGCCGAAGAAAAAGTGTTCGTGCAATCGCCGTCTCGCCTTCGGCTTGGGCTGCCATTGGCCTTCGCGGTCGCCCGCAGCTCGATCTCCAGCGTACCTAGCGCCGTTTTCGCGGTGGACTGCCGCTCCTCCTTCGCATTCCTTTTTCCAGGAAAGGGCGTGGGCCCAGGGTTCTGTTTTAGCGGGTTCCCCTCTCGGCCCCACGGGAGGTGGACCGGCGGAATTGTTTCGCGATAAATAACAAGGCAAAGTGTGAATTTGCAGTTGAACGAATGAGTTTTTCGCGTGCCCTCTCGAGGAAAGTTTGCCCCCCGTCTCGGATCCTTGCTAAATAACGGGGTAAGGGGGTCCACAAGGAAAACAATTAGGTTTGGAGCCCCGACCAGGACAACAAATA